CCAGCCACTCACAGTAGCTTATGGCAGCCCACTGCAGCTCCACTGCAGCCTACGCCGTAACCGGTGACTCAGGGCAGCCCAGCTCCAGGTCGAGCTGTTGTTCACCATCTTAGTCGTAGAGGGCAGTGTCACTGGCCCTCATGTGGGATCCGAACTGGGGCCCTGCTGCTCAGAGCTGGTGTCCCAAGCCAGTTCTTAACCAACGCGCCACTCAGCAGGCCCTACTATCTTCTTATCCATGTGAATGTGTGTGTGTGTGCACGCACCTGTTTTATGAAGAAGAAAGCAATTCCTGCTCTGCCCATCTTAAGAGAGAACATGAAAATAAAATGAACAAAAATGGACATGAGAATGCTTAGGGACATTAGATGTGTGATTCTTTCTGAGATGGTGATATATTAAAACGGGCTGGGCGTTACTGATATGTAGGGTAGAGTATTTTTATTTTCAAATAGAAAAAGGTCGATTTCTGACTTCCTGTGAAAAAGCGGATCCGCCGAGCCTGGGCCCGTTTCCTATGTGGACAGTTGGTTAGCTGACTGGTGGCTGTCCCTCTGTAGGACCCCAGCCCTCATGGCATTTGACCTTGCAGCTCCTCAGTCAGGCCTTTCCTCCCCGGCACTGGGCTGCCATGGGCCCTCTTTACAGTGGTGAGTTCCCCTAGTGCCTTGCTCCTTCAAACTTCTAATTCACTGGGGCGCTTGTTAGAAGTGCAGAATCTCAGGCCCTACCCCAGACCTGCAGAATCAGAAGCTGCATGTTAACAGACTCCCGGGAAATTGGTGTCGTACTGAAGTTTGAATGGCACCGTCCAGATTCACCAATTCTGGTTGCATATTAGATGCATGTTCATTTTTAAGATACTATGTGTGGCCTCATGCCCAGAGGAGCTCAATGAATTGATCTGAGGAGGGACCACATAGCCTGAATCTGCTTTCTACCTCTCAGGTGATGGATTCCACGTGTAGAATGGTGAGAGCCATTGACACAACGTCATTTAGCTTATAACTCAAGCAGGCACAACTTTTCAGGAACACAGTTGGACCAAATCCATTTGTAAACAAATAGCCCAGTTCCTTCGCAGCCAGTTGGAATTCAGAGCCTGCAAAACACTGGCGACAGGGCCTGCCATGCTTTCTGTGTTTCCCTTCCAGAATCATCACCTACCTGTACTGGCAGATCACAGAAGGGAGGAAGGTGATGATCAGGCTGCTCCACGAACAGATCATTAACGTGAGTTCCGTTGGGCCCCTCTGTCACTTTCCCTTCTTCTTAACATTTTATAATGAAGCTTCCAGACCTGTTCCCAAACAGAACAGTACAGTGAACCCCCACGCGCCCACCACCCAGCCCCAACCTCCATCAGAATTTGTATACTCTTCTTTTTTTAATTTTTAAATTTTTGTAAAAGATTTTATTGGGGAACTGGGGAAGGGGAACATTGTGTTTTTCCAGGACCCATCAGCTCCAAGTCAAGTTGTTGTCCTTCGATCTTAGTCGTGGAGGGCGCAGCTCAGCTCCAAGTCCAGGCGCCATTTTCAGTCTAGTTGCGGGGGGCGCAGCCCACCATCCCATACAGGAGTCGAACCAGCAGCCTTGTTGTTCAGAACTCACGCTCTAACCAGCTGAGCCACCTGGCCGGCCCTGTATATTTTTCTTTCATCTACACTATCCCTTCACTGCAAATCTCTGGATTATTTTAAAGAAAACCCTAGACTTTATACCATTTTATCTGTAAAAACTTCCACATGCAAAAGAGATACAGACTTTAAAAACAAAACAGAACACATAACCACAATACCAACCATCACACCTAAAAGAAAACTTAATAATTCCTTACTATCATCTAATAGCCAGCCACTGGTCAAATTCTGCCAACTGTCCCATTAAGTGTCTTCCATTAGCTCATGGGTTCTTTTGCCACAACTCCAATGGTCTTTGACAGCTTCCTTGACTCTCTGGAAGGGTAAGATTTCCAGATTCATTTTGCTCATTTTCTGTCCCAGAACGGGAATCAGTCATTTCTTCAGTTTAGCCAAGGGTCCTGGGGAAACGGTTTTGAGAGACCACCGTCTGGGCACAGCGACACGCATTGCTCCTGGGCTGGTTCCCTTTTCTTCTAAATGCAGCAGCACCACGGCATGAGCGCGTGGGTCGAAGGACACGGGAAAGAAGCAGGACTCCCCAGGGTTCTGTCCGCTTGAACCTTTGGGTTTTTGGGTCACTGGTGTTGGTTCTTTTTGGAGGGTAAAGAAAGGCCGTGGTTATGCTCTCCCACTCCCTGCGCCCAGGAGCAGCACCGGTGCCGCACTTTGAAAGGTGTGGGCGTCTTACGAAGCGCTCCACGCGGGAGGGATTTGATTGTAAAGCCCCCACTTGTAAGGGCAGTGTCAGCTACGCTGGGGAGGCGTTTGGCTGGCACCATAAGTTGCAGGCCTGCCTGCTTGGGAGTCTTGTCCAGAGGCTGGACCACAGACACCCGGAAGGATGCTGCCTCCAGAAGAACCCAGACAGAGGCGGGCAATGGGGTTGGCAGCAAACCTTCTCAAGTGTGATTCCTGCATCACAACTCCTGGTTGCTTGTGAAAAATGCCAGTTCCTGTTACCTTTCCCTTTCCCCTCTAATAACGCCACAGGTAACATGGGTGGAGCCTTACATGATGCCTGGCACTGTGCCAACTCATAAACAAATGTTCTTACTTAATTTGCTCTCTCTGGGACACCTACAGTTTCTTTAAACTCCTATTTTGAAATGAAGGAAATCGAGGCTTACAGAGTAAAACAATTTGCCCAAAGTCACGGGTGGGGCTTGAACCAGGTGGCTCCAAAACTTGTGCTCTCAACTACAATGCAGCTTGTTTGTTTTTGTTTTCTTAACAATGCAATTTGGGCTCCCTGAGTCAAAATCTGTTAGGGAATTCAGACTGTGAATTTGCATTTTTGGAAGCTTGCCAGAGCCAGGCAGTTCTTTTTTTTTTTTTTAATATATATTAAAGTTTATTGGGGTGACAGTGGTTAGTAAAGTTACATAGGTTTCAGGTGTACAATTCTGTAATATGTCATCTATATATCACATTGTGTGCTCACCACCCAGAGTCAGCTCTCCTTCCATCACCATGTATTTGACCCTGTTTACCCTCATCTACCACCCCCTCCCCCCTTACCCTCTGGTAATCATTAAATTATTGTCTGTGTCTATAGTTTTTGTTTGTTTGTTTGTTCGTCTTGTACCTTTGTTGTTTTCAGTTTTATATCCCACATATCAGTGAAATCATATGGTTCTTGACTTTTTCTGTCTGACTTATTTCACTTAGCCTAATAATCTCAAGATCCATCCATGTTGTCGCAAATGGCACTATTTCATCTTTTCTTATGGCCGAATAGTATTCTATTGTGTATATGTACCACATCTTCTTTATCCAATCATCCATCAAAGGACACTTTGGTTGTTTCCATGTCTTGGCCACCATAACTAAAGCTGCAATGAACACTGAAGCACATATATCTTTACGGATAAATGTTTTCAGATTTTTTGGATATACATCCAGGAGAGGGATTGCTGGGTCTTATGGCAATTCTATTCTGCACAGCAAAAGAAACCACTGACAAAATAAACAGGTAGTTCTAATTCGCATTAGAGTGTGAAAACAGCTGCCAGAGATTTCTAAACAAGTCGGCCACATCCAAGACAGCTAGGTGACTTGTAAAAACGACAATTCCCAAGTTCAGCTCTTCCTTAGAAAAGAACTCCGATTAATAAATGTAGAAGGAATGAAGGCAATAGAAAATCATCACGAAGCAAATACCATAGTAATAATTGTCGCAAGCAAGACTCACTGGCGGATGCTAAAATTAGTGGGTTTAAGGAGAAACCAGGGTATCGGAAGTGGGATTGACCTAGATTGGACAGACGGTCAGGGGTACTTGCCAGCCCCTCTCAAGACAGGTGGGACATACCACTGTCTAATCTGCAACAGATTCACGGGGAAGTGACTCACCCTCTTGGGGAAGGTACACCCCATTTCTTTCTCCCCCTTCCCAATTCGGGATTATTTATCTGGGTCTACTCAACACAGATAACTTTGATAAATGAAATACAGTGATACCTTGGTTTGCGAGAATAATTCGTTCTGGAAACGACTCGTAATGCAAGACAAGGCTCATTTACCAAGTTAACACGTATGTACATGTATATGTATAGTACTGTATTAGAAAAGTTTGCTCGTCTTGTGGGATACTTGCAAACCACAGTACTCGCAATCCAAGGCATCACTTTATATTTAATATCCTTAGATGCAGAGTGTAAATTTTGCCATTCTCAGTGGGAGCACAGGGCAGACTCAGGCAGTGCTGGGTGCCCAGACAGGGTTCAGGGGCCCAGGGCATGCCAAAGAAGGGGGTACAATACACCATTTATCCTGGACCTTCAGACTGTGGCATGTAAGTTGCTTCTAGCAGTCAGGCTAGAGAAGGCTGACACTCAAGCTTGCGAGGGAATTTGCTTTAGAGGAGAATTTTTTAATTCAGAAAGGCTTTGGGGGATAGTTGAGCTTTGCTGTGAAAATGTTTATTTTCTTTTCTCAGGAGAAAACACGGCAGTGGTCTCCATCCAATGTCTGGGACCCTACCTGCCTAAAAATCATCCCTCTTTCCCGCAGTTGCCCCTCAACCCCACACCATCGATTGTCTTCATTTTTCTCTTTGGCAGGAGGGCAAAGATAAAATGTTCCTGATAGAAAAGCTGACAAAGCTGCAGGATGCTGAGAAGAGAGCCAACGCCAGCTCATTGACACTGGAGAGAGACGCAGAGGTAAGGCTGGAGGCCGCGTGAGGGTCCCGGTGACACACACTTGCCTCCCTGTGAAAAGGGCATCATGGAACCAAAGTCACACAGGAGCACTTCACTTTCCATGTTTAAACATTTCTGCCTTTTTCACTTAGAAAATAATGCTCAGTCAACACTTTCCATGCCTTACCCACCCTCTAGGTCAGCAGTTCTCAACCTTCCTAATGCCGCGACCCCTTAACACAGTTCCTCATGTTGTGGTGACCCCCAACCATAAAATTATTTTCGTTGCTACTCTATAACTGTAATTTTGCTACTGTTATGAATCGTCGTGTAAATACCTTTTTGCTTTCCGATGGTCTTAGGCGACCCCTGTGAAAAGGTCGTTCGCCCCCCAAAGGGGTCGCTACCCACAGGTTGAGAACTGCTGCCTAGGTGCTGGGGTTATCGCGGTGAAAACAGGCGCTGTGCTCATGGAGCTTGCATGTGTCTTTTCTATAACCCAGTGATACAGAAGTCCATCCCACCGAGATAAAAAGTGCCCTGAAATCTCACCCCACCATAGGAATGCTTTAATGTTTATTCTTCCAGATCTTTCCCCCTAGGCTGCAAACACATGCATCCACTAACATTTTTGTTTATTTATTACAAAAGTGGGGCTGTACTATACACATGGTATCATAACTCCCCCCCGCCCCTTTGTATCTTGGATGTTATTTTAGTCTCTATGAATTTGGATATTTTGAGTTGTTTCCAGGTTTCTTTTAATTTTTTACTTATTTAAAAAAATTTTTTTAAAGATTTTTATTGGGGAATTGGGGGAAAGGGGAACAGACAAGTTGCTGTTGTTTTGTTCTTCAGTCTAGTTGCGGAGGACGTTGCTTCACTGTCCCAAGTTGGCACCATCATTGCACTCTTCCCGGGTGAGGCAGATCAGTCGCCGGCTTCTGGACGGCCGCTCACTGCGGCTGCTGGCCGCTCACGCTGGCTGCTGGCCACACACGGTAGCCCATGGCCACCCACCTGCCATCGCTGGCAACTCATGGCAGCCCAGCTCCAGGTTGAGCTGTTGTTCAGCATCTTAGCTGTGGAGGGCAGTGTCACTGGCCCTCATATGTGGGATCTGACCGGGGCCCTCTGGCGTCCCAAGCCAGCTCTTAACCATCGCGTCACTCGGCCGGCCCACCAGGTTTCTTTTAAAAGACTAAAAATCGTGTGTGATGGAACTTTTTTTTTTTGCTATCATTATTTTATGCAAGTATTTCTGCCTCAGGGCATCCACATGGTAATGGTAATAGATATTATCATATCACTCTTAAAAAGATTTTTCGAATTTCATTCTTACCAAGAGCGGGTAAGAGATGCCTGGCACCCTGCTCTCATTCCAGGGCCCAAGCTGACGTCCTTGGTGTCCTGGAAAATATGGATAAACAGTCAACCCACCTTAATCCCAATGCCACAAGTTTTGCAAGTTGTGATCTAGTCACAAGAGACTGCTGTGCCATTTACTGTCTGTGTAATTCATACTATCAGTACGATTTAGGAAAGGAATCTAGAAGCCCAAGTTCAAATCCTTTGAAGGCAGCCACCCTGTCTGTACCCTTGCAGCCCCAAGTCCTAATCTATTGTTATTACCTGGCATATTGTAAATTGCATGTGTCTTTTTCTATAACCCAGTGATACAGAAGTCTATCCCATCGAGATAAAATGTGCCCTGAAATCTCACCCCACTGTATGAATGCTTCAGTGTTTAGTGAATGAATGAGAAATGAATGGCATTGCTGCCCTAAAAGAAACAAAACGTGTTCAATGTTTCGATAGTTGATTGTTGTTCTTTACCTGTCATCTCTTAGTTTTAAAGTCACAGGGGGCTTACAGATCTTACCAACTATGCAGTAAGACCCGGGGCCCACATTATTTTCCCGTGATGAGGCTGCCTGTTTTCCTTTTTTGCAGGAGACCGGCCCTCTGCACACCAGGGGACATGACACCGCTCATAGTAAGTAACCGAGCTGGCCCCGAAGACCAGATTTATCCAGGTGGCATACCCCAGACAGAGGGCAGAATTGCTCACATGTCAGTTACTCGTTCAATTGCAAGAACTGACCCAAGCTGGCTTGAGCACAAACCCGAGACTAATTCTTGCTTTCAAAGCTGGGGCTCCCAATGTCACGGGAACCTGGTTTCTTCCCGTTCAATCCTTTCCGTGTTAGCGCCTTTCTCGATTAGGCTCTTCCGAATAATTAATTGCAAGACTGCTTTATCAGCTTCTGCCGTCTTCTCAGATTCGACGCTAGTGGGAGAGAGTGAGAGACCCAGAATTCTCAGTGTTTCATTGGATCTGAGTGGGCGATGTGCCCCTCGTGAGCTAATTGCCGTGGCCACGAAAATGTGATTTCATTGGCTGATCCGAGTCGCAGGGCCCATCTGTACAATACAGGTGGGACAACCATACAGACCACAGGGACAAAGATTGGGGAAGGGTGGCTTCCTAAGGAAAATCTGTGACTTGAGGCCAGCAGGGGAAGGCATGCTGAGGAGGGAACAAATAAACCCATTCATCTTTGTTGGGGTAGCATTTACTGACAGCGTGCAGTGATTCCATTCGGAGCTCAAGTACTGAAGAAACTTGAAGAGGCAGGGAAGGCCCATTTGGTCTTTCCCTGGGTGACGTGGCGCTGTGTGTGCCTGTGCTAACTTCTCTTTCCTGTGTCAGCCCCAGACCTGCGATTCAGGCGGTCTGTTCAAGAAGAGAATCCAAAGGCCTGACGATGACTGTGGTAGCCAGACACCTATCAAAGGAGGAAAGAAGATAGAAAGGGAAGAACTTTTTCCAGCCACCTGGGTCCTTGGGGAGCTTCTCAGAAGGGAATTCAAACCATTTGCCAGGAGTAGCAACTGACACCAGTGTTAATACTGAAGTAAAATTGGCTATTTCCTGCTGGTGTTTTACACTCGAATTGCTGATTTTTGGAGAGAGAATATTTGGGGTTTTCTAATAAAGACTTGTGATATCTTAACTAATTCACAAAAACCTGGTAAGAGTTAACACGGGAATGGTGTATTTTATCTTCAAGTGATGTACATTTGAATTATCAGCCCATAGAAATCCCCCCCACCCCGCAGAGGTTTGGGACTGGTGCTAAGACAAGCAGTTCAGCCCGAATAAAAATGTAATCTTCAATCAGGGCTCTGGAGCCTCTGAATTGTGGAACCGGCGATTTGTTCACGACTTTGAACTAAAAACATCCCACGTTACCCAAAGGTGAAATACAGCCGAGGGTCTTGTCTGTGAACTTTATTGTATATTGAGTACCTGAGTCTTTGGAGTTGGACTGGGGTTGGGGGCGTGGGTGTGTGGACCGGAGCTCTGCCCCATGAGGTTTTATACGTGACTATCACAGTCTTACGCTGAATCAAACATAAGACCAGTGGTGATGTGTGGAATATATATATGTATGTATATGTGTGTGGAATGAATACATATATGTGTGTGTGTATACATATACATATGTGTATATACAGAGGTGCCAAAAAAGTGTACACACATTTTAAGAAAGGAAAAAAACTATTAAAATTGTAATAATATATACTGATAACAAGAGGAATACAGGTCACGTCTGACCTCTGCAACTACAAGAGGTGCTCAAAGTGGTTCCCATCAGCGTCCAGACACTTCTGATGATGGCGAACTACGGCTTGAGCAACGCTGACCAGTGTCCACTTGTAGACATTTTTGGCACCCCCGGTGTGTGTGTGTGTGTGTGTGTATAAATAAATATATAGCGCACACACTACATATATATAGTGTATGTATATACATATACACTATATTATATATATTACTATATATTATATATAATAAAGAATGCCATATACATATATATATTTCTTTTGCAGATTTGCCCAAAGACTCACAAGCATGTGACTTTCCCATAGCATTTTCCTGTCTGATCCCCAGGAACACAGACCATTGAGGGCTCAGCTGTGGAGCAGAGGGGCCTCTGCTTTCCTCAGACTGCACCTGTCCGATACAAGTGGTGCCGGACACCTCTCTTGTGTTATGTCTGCACAGTGCTTTTCCCCCTTGAATCACCTGGGGCTCTTGGTGAAAAGCAGGTTCTAATGTGTGAGATCGGGGAGAGGTCTGAGCGTCTGCTTTTCCATCTAGTGCTATGGGTCTGGGGACTGTGTCCTGAAAAGGACGGGTTTAGAGCACCTCCACATTTTTTTCTTATTTTTACCTTTACAGCAGTATTATTACACTGTTAACATATCTTTCAAAAACACTTCCACTTTTATCATTTGAACCTCGTAACAGTCTGGCTAGAAGATAATTAGTGCAAATATCACGATTTCCATTTGGTAGATGATGAAAGCTTAGGCACACACAGGTTAACTGGTTTGTCTAAGGTCATAAAGCTAATTGGTGGCAGAGCCGAGGACTTTGGCTTTTCTCTGGCTCAGTGGTTCTGTCTGTGCATGTCTCAGAATTGCCTGGAGACCTTGTTAAAACAGGTCCTGGTTCAGATTCAGTAGGTCTGCTGATGGGCTCAGAGAATTTGCATTTTTAACCAGTTCCCTCTTATGCTGATGTTGAACAAATGTCTTAAAGGACAGCACCCCTTGAAAACCACTGTGCCTCGCTGATACCCAGCCTCTTCTTAACACTTGATGTTCTGTGGGTTAAGATTTTGGGCATCATTTAACGTTTGGTAATAGAACACATAAAGTCGTTAATCTTCAGCATTTTTAATCAAAGAAACCAAATAACGGTACCCCTGCAGTAACCATCACTTCATGTGAAGGGTTGGGAGTGGCTGTTTGGAACACTTGATTAGCTTACACCCTTCCTTGTCCTCCACAAAGCTGTGGCTTCCTCTCCTGTTGAAACACTATTCCCACTTTAGGAAATAGAAGGAAATAGTGGGTGTAATTTTGTTTAGAAATTTGCATTAATACAAATAGAATATTTATGTCATGGTGAAATTCTTGACTGCAGACACCGGTCTCCAAATAAGAAAACGAGCATTGTTTAATCAAGTAAGTAGTGGATTTCTTAAGCCTTTTGAGGTAGCCCCTCGATGTTATGTCTCCAGCATCCAATGAACAGCAGAGGATGTGACATTGATCTGTACTGATGGTCTTGGAAAGAACGCTACCTGTTGTGACTTCAGGCGGCCCCTCGATGCTGCTGAATCCTGAATCATTTATCTATATTCCCAATGTTTCATCTCACTCTAGATCTGTGTCTCGTGTCCCTGAGGAAGCTTCCACTGATATCCCATAATTCATTCCTTCAACAAAGATTTATTGAGCATCCACTATGTGACAGGTATGGACCAGACTGTTAAGCAGGGGTTTAGGGTGTGGGCTCTGGAATTACCGCGTCAGGGCCTGAATCTGGATCCTATTACTGTTGTGTGAGTTTAGGCAATTAACTTTCCTTGCTTTGGTTCCTTCAGTATAAAATGGGATTATAATGGTACTTACCTCATGGTGCTGTTGCAAACACATGGAAAGCATTTGAAAGTGTCTAGTTATTAACAATGTTATTGACAAGCATTTCACATGTCCTTTCATTTCATCACAAATCCCGCCCCTATTTTACAGATAAATTAAATGACTTACCCAAGGTCATACGGCCACAGGTTGATCAGGAAATGAGATTTAGCTTTCTCTGATCCCAAGTGCTGTTTTTCACCCCTATGCTAAGCCTTTCAGGTGTTGAATAGTACTTGTTAACACCTCCTTTCTTCATCCAGTCTCCATTCTTCAAAGCCTGGACCTCTTTAGCATAGGATCTAAATCCTTAACTGGGTGTGGCTGAGTCAAGAGCTCTTCACAACAGAAGGGATGTTGTTAACTCTAAAGCCCCCAAGAGAATGCCTTTCCTGTCAGTTTAGATAAGGCTCCATTCATTCAATAAATCTTTCTCCTATTGTTCATTTTAAAATTCAAGAAAATTGCTTTGGAAATGTTGATTGAAAATGTCCTAAGCCCCACCTATGTGCCCCTGCCAACCCCAACTGGAGGAAAAGCCAGTTTGCTTCTCAGCGCCATCAGCCGTGTGGCCTGGTGGCCTGCCTGCCGTGTGAGGCTGGTGGTGACGTGACGCCTTGGGACTCAGGAGCCATGACTAAGCTGTGGGGATGTGATGGAGGCTGCAGGTGGGGCTGAGAGGTGGGCAGGCAGGCGGCTGGAGGAGAAAGACAGCTTTGCAATGATTTAAAGACTGGACTTCACTTTAAATATTGCTATTTCAGTTCACAATAAGCGCCCCCCCAGGCTCATGGGGAGGAGCTGGGGATCAAAGGCTTTATAAAGGGAGGTGGAGCGGTTAAGAGCAGGGGCTGAGTCCAACCCATCTGCACCAAGGAATTGGAGACCTTGGGTAACTGCCTATCAGTTGGCAGTGCCTCAGTTTCCTCATCAGTAAAGAGAACAACAATACCTCCGTAAGACTTTTGTGAACATTCAGATCATGCATTAAGCCACGAGAGCTCCTGGGAAATAGTAAATAAGGAATTTGTTATGACGTCAGGCTCTGCTGTGTCACCAGCTGTTATTTCTGAGGAAGACCCTACCCTTCCACGGTTTGTTTTCTCATGGGGGGAATGAGGATAAGCCTCGATGCCCTTGGAAGTTTCTTCCGGGTCTAACTGGCTATGGTCCCCTGCGGTAGAGTAGCCTGACAGAGTGCAACTCCCTACTGATTTGTAGCTTATTTTCCTTATGTCTTAAAGATACGCTGCTCGGCACACAGTTTTCCCTTCGTGCTCCTTTTAATGATTTTATTAGTACAGTCACAACTTGGACGTCTATAGTACATTGATAACGTACCTGAATATAAATATTTTAAATAAGTACATTACATAAGTGTGTCAAGTTTTAAAATGTCAACTCTGAGTGATCATGCATTTCCCATGCGTTTGCATCTGCATGTTGCACAGCTCGATCTGTGCTTATCCGCACTGGGTCTCGGTGTAGGCCTCAGCTGGCTCTGGGCAGAGCTGCAGTGCCTTTCTGCAGACCCAGGTTTTCAAGAGCAATGGTGTTGAACTTGGGCGCTCCATGGAGCACGGTGGCAACGCTGGGTTTTGCTGTGGTTCGGATAAAGATGCCATCATCGACCACTGTTTGTGTGGGCCACCGGATCGCCCAGGGCTTGGGCTAGCACAAAGGGCATTTTAATATCCCTGGCCAGTGAGGCCAGTAGGCAGTGTCAGTACCTGTGGTTCGTTCCTTGGGGAAAAGTCTAGAAATGAGGTTCACAGTCTTCCAACATGCTGTCGGTGATATAGCTGGCACCAAGATGGGACTCGTAGTAACTTTTTTCATCAAAGCTATTAATAGTCCAACCAACAACGTGAATGCCTTTAGCTGACCACTTCCTCAAGTAGGCCCTGGGGTAGGGGGAGAAACCAATGCTGTTAGAATACCGGCCAGCTGGCCCAGGAATCTCCAACGGGCACTACGGACGGTATTCAAGTACTAGCAGCACTCAGGAAGAGCCTCATAACTGGGCCCCGTGCTGCCATCAGAGGGAACGTTCCAGAACCCAGCAGAACCATGTCTGCATTGTTCCGGTCATACTGGAGGCCGTACCTGGCTTAGCCCCACCTGTCTGTTTGGCCTGAACTTATACCACACGCCCCCTTTCTTTTCTGTGCTGCAGAACATTGATTTTCTTTCACTGCCTTGAAAGAACCAGGTTCCTTCCTGCCACAACACTCCAGCGCGTGTTTCTCCCTCTGACTTGGGTCCCCACCCCGCCCCCCTCAATTCCTGCTCACCCTTCAGATCTTAGCTTAGCTGGCACTTCCTTGGGGATATTTTCCCTCTACTCCCCCACTAGGTCAAATGATATATGTACACTGTTCTCTCCTACATAGCATTTATCTTGGCTATAATTTTATATGCTGGGTTCTTATTTGATTGGCATCTATCTCTTCCACTTGATTATAAACTCTGTGACAGAGCACAGCTTTGTTTCTTTCCCACGGCACCTTCAGCTCCGTAACACCGTGCCCTGCAATCATGTAGGCACACACCAAATGTTTAGTGAATTGGATGCATACATGCCTGAGATAATATGAAACTTAAAATCATATTCAGCTGAAACACACAGCTATAAAACTGCCAAAAGAAAGATCCCGAGATCGCCGGCAGGTGAGGGGACAACGAGTTTTTGGAAAGATGGAGCAGAGCCTGTCGTGTATAGGGGGGTGGGAGGAAAGGTAGAGGGGTGGGAGGAAAGGTGGGGGGATGAGGGAGGCGCCCCATGGAGGGGGGTCTTCCCTGTGGCTCTGCCCTGGATCCTGGGATGGTTTTCAAAGAGACCCAATCACCAGGAAATGTAATCTAAAACAAGAATCTGGGATCAGTTTGTTTTGGAAACAGTAAAATGTGCCTGAACTCTTCCCACCTAAGAAACTCATTCCAACTGAAGGCACGGGTGGGCTTTGTGGGTGGGAACCTTAATCCTTTCTGATAAGAGCACTCAGGAAATGCATCAAGAGGAGATTTAAAAAACCTCCCAACTTACGGGGATACAAAATCCTTTTGCATGAGGAAAGCTGAAATTCCGCACAGGTACCACAAGACATTATGCAGGCTCCAGTCAAGCAGAATGTCCATTACCACGAACATGGCGTGTCTCCATAAAGTGTCATAGCGTGGTTTCCCATCTCCTGTGTGGCTCAGGCTCCAAGGCCTGTGAGTTAATGCTGTCACTACATTCGGATCTGTCTGTCTCATCTGAAAAGGAATTTTGGAAAAGAAAAGAATGATCACATCTTAAGTCCAATACCTCTCATCTCTACTTATTCTGACGAGGTGGTCATAGTCGGTACCCTGCCCCCATGTTTACTAAGTGAGTACTCACTCGATCATAAAGCCTTTGGGAAAATAATGTGCTGGATGTAAAGCATGTAATATAGGTGCAAATAAGAACACCTCCCTCACAATCATAAAAGGACTGCAGTCCTATCTTTAAGATGAGGAAATTGTAGTCTCAGGGCCAAGTTTTAACAATGTCGTAAGAATCAACTTGCCATTGGATGTTGATGTAAATTCTCACCTGAGATAATTAGAGCTCAGTGAGGATGGAACTATGATCATTTCAAGGTTGGCTGGTGAGCTTTTCATCCTTTCTAGAGAAAAGGGCTCGAAGAGCTGTGTGGAGGTGGATCGGGAAGCAGACGAGAAGGACAAGAGGAGACAGAACAGAGCGGGGGAAAGTGGGGGCCGGGGATGGGATGGGGCAAATGAGAAATGGGGGGACGAGGGTGGAACCTTTCAGTGTGTTCTCGACCCTCCTCTGGAGACTACATCACACATTTTAAAGCCCTCTGTGGTCAAATTAGTCTGAGGAACACTGACCCAAGTGTCTGAAAGCCCCACGACTCTATTCATCTCAGTGACAGTTTGTATCTGGACAGGCTGCACTCTTACTGTAACATTTTAAATAGGGGCCCTGTTGGTCACTGTTGAGGAATGCTACAGAACCAACTCATTATTTTGGAAACTGGTAAATTAAGGGAAAGACTCGGCATTTATTTGCCTATTGAGTAACTCGATAGTAGATGAGAGTTTCTTTTTACAGAAGTATTCTAGCTAATACAAGAAGAAATGGTAGAAGGATAGAATTAAAATATTGACATTTTGCAACCATTAGTAAACTGACAGAGCTGGCAGTTGGCATCAATGGCGGCTGCTAACAGCAACACGAGTCAACCAGATGTTCTGTGCCTTCTGATGGAAAAATAACCTCACCTATGAAATCATCTTGCCAAGAATAACTAAACCTAATCTGATCAAGCCTTTCGCTTTCACTACCAATTTACGGGACATATACGGAGGAGAAAAATGTGTTAAGCTGTATTATGGCATAATTAGCAACATCCAGATTTGGATAAACTCTATAAAACAACCTGGTTTCGTCAATAAATACATTACAAAGCGGGGAAAAAAGAGAGAGGGGACTTTCAGATTTTAAGACTTAAAATAATAACTTGCAGTCTTTAATTGGGTCCCGATTCAAATTAGCAATTTGTAAAAAACAAAACAAAAAAAATCCGTGTATGCTATGTACGGGCCTCAGTAGCCTGGGAAACAGGAAGATTCATGTATTTTTAATCTATTAAAGTGTAATAGTCTTAGGCAATAACTATTATAACTATTGACTGAATAGTTAATGATGTTATGGACTTAATGTTAATGGTTTTAGATGAAATGATGGTACTGTGGCTACGTTTTAAAAAAAGACATCACTTTTTAAAGATACTTATTACAGTTTTTATGGATAGAATGATATGATGTCTGGGACTGGCTTCAAAGTAACACTGGAGAAGCAAGGTGAAGGTTTGGGAGATACAGGCTGGGGCGTGGTTAGCAGACTCACTGTGTTCCGACTGACTTTTATGCATACTTTATGCATACTTTAAATTCTCCCGAATGAAGGGTTATGTTTTAAAGGTATATTCTGCTGTTACTTACGGAGACATAGGACTACATTAATTCTTTCTGCTCTGAGAGTGTTTATCAAAGTAGTCTCCATGAGCCGATACACAACATGCAAAAAGGAGCTAATGAGGGAGCACGGTGTTTTAAAAAGGCGTCTGAGGACATTCCTCTTCCTAAATCTTAACAGATTCAGTTCAGTTCAACAGGCATCTATCTTACGCTTACTTGGCCCACTGCTATTGTCACCACCAGCTACTAAGGTACTATGTACAACAAACATCCTAACTTTACCTTATAGATAACTTCTGGCAAGAAAGAGCAGACCATGCTATTATTATAAAGTTGAGGAAACTCCATATATATTTTCTTTAGCGCATCAGTAGCCTGGAAAACAGAAAGATTCCTGTATTTTAAATCTATTAAAATGTAAATGGTCTTAGGCAATAGCTACTATATATCAAGTACAACCTTATGAAATAAATCAGGAGTTGACTAACATATGGGGACCATGCGAGGAGTATTGGTGGGATCCACTACCACTGGGATACATTTTAAACTTACATCTGCGGCAGATAAGGAAGAAGCTGGGGTGCTTGTGCTTTACTATCTTGCTGAGAAGCTCACCCCTTTTGTCCTATTTTTGGAAAGTATGGCAGACTGCGGGCCAGTGGAGGCTGGAGGCGAAATTTTAACATCTTTTCCTTATACCCTAGTTTAGCCACTATGAAAGTGGTTTTATCCCCACAGCTCTATCACCCTTTGTTTTTCCTAGCTGAAGCACATGCCAAGCAGCCTGGGAACTAACTACAAAGGGTAGATTTTCTCAGTCCAGGGGACTGAGAAGAAACGCCACCCATCACCAGTATGAAGGCAGAAGCAATGGGACAGGGGAGGAACTGGAAGTCTAACTCTTCCCAAGGTGAGCAGAAATGTCTTTTTGTAGTTGTCCAGCTAATAAATGAAAGAGAAATGGGAGAATCAAATGGTGACATTTTGAAATCTCTAGTGAATGAACAGATCTGGCCACTGACTGAAGGTCGCTACATCATAATTCTTGAAATACCGTTAATTTCTAGAAGGTCACACATACGTATGACCAAATATAAGCAACAAAATGCATTCCAAAAAAGACAAAAGAACATAGAAATGATTTATGTCATGTTTTCCCTTCATTAATGTGACCGAGTGTGAGCTAGACAGCCAAGATTTTTTCTTGCTGTTGGAGCTATCAGATATGCACTGTGTGTACCCCCTCGACTACCTTATTTAATGCTCACAACCACGCTAGGTGGTGGTTTAAATATTCCCATTTCGCCCACGAGGAAACCGAAGCTCATCAAGGTTGAGGTTACACTGTAAGTGACAGACCTTAATCATGGTCTGCTGGGCGCTGAAACCCATGACCTTGGCTCCCGTGCCCTACTACCTCCAATTCGCTGCCAACACTTGTTCCTTTATGCTACCATTTTGGTGAATTAGGTCACTATGCTTTACCCAGTCTTGCCCAAAACCACTTGCGAGCACCCAGCCAGAAAGCTCACAGAGTTGGATTTTTTTTTTTTAAAGTTTTTCTTCTTCTTTTCCCCACGCTTATTCTAAGAGAATAAGCACAAAGGTCAGTACACTGTGGGTGACCTGTAGGACCTATCAGGGTTCCCAAACTCGGGCCATAGTATCACCAAAACCTGAAGTGCTCATGAAAAGTATGCGTTTCTTGACCTTGCCACCCTAGACCTTTTCAGGATTTCTTCTCTAGGTAGCATGGCTCAGGAATCCATATTTTTAATAGGCATTTCTGTTGATTCTGACACAGACCAACTGGAAAAACCTAGACGTATACAGCTATCAATTTAGCAGAATAATAAATTAGCCAGAGCACCATTCTCCTTTTTCTTCAAAAATAGAGGCATTTACTATACATATATACTTTAAAGTTAGAATATTATATATTGAGGCTCATATTTCAGGTTTTAACAACTAGTTTCAACTATATCCTGGGATTAATTTAAAAAAATCAACATTATCAGAATTCTCAACCCATAGATGGCCATTACTGATTATAATTGCAAGGGGGAAATTACCCAAGTTGTCCAAATGCAGAAAAAAGTACTTGTCCTTGAAAAGCAGGTGATAAGAGAACAAATGTAATCCGAACCACATTTTCCCACTGATTTCCATTGCAATAATAGGTTTTTATGAGTACAAGTATATGTTCCACAATTCTGTTTGGGAATGTCATATATATTTGATGAAATGATAGTAATTTTCTGATAAAAGTATAACTACTCAAATTATAGAATAACAAAGCTATTCATAAGGGATAGAAGTCATAAAGAAGGGATAAGTCATGTAAAAGATAAATATCCTAGCAGCTATCAGGAGCTTTAAAGACAGGAGTTCTCTTTAAATTTAGTCTATAGTTGTCCATCTAAGCCCCTGGACTTATCAGCCCGATGCAGCTGGTCTTGGGCCCGACTCCTGAGTTCCTTTTTATGAGGTTACTTAACTGGTCTGTTCAGGAAGGGCCTCTTTACTGTTTATTTAATACCTTTGGTAAATGCTTTATGCAAATAAGAGAAACCCAATTCTTCTATTTTGTGCTAGTTGTAGAATATCAGGAATTGTTAAAAGGTTCCACCAAAGCTTAAAAGGTTTAGAAGTTTCTATAATTTACTGTTTCCTTAAAGATGTAGATTTTTGCATTGTTCACTTCCACTCAGCAAACAGAATTTGTGAAAATAAGAAGAATAAATAACAAACTATATGTATTTAATTTTGGAAATAACTAGCATTTAAAGATGTCTTTTTAAAACAGCGAAGTCTGTGGTATAAACTGTACCTTATTTGCGTGGCCCTTGACGTCAAAGAAGATTGTGAGGTTATGGTTTAGGCACTCTGCCACAGCTTCCCTCAGGGTGGGGATCTTTTCATCAGGGAAATTGTTCCTATACCAGAGGGAGGGAAACCAAAGGTCGAAGTTTAGTGGGACAGACATGTGACAAACGTCTCCCAACCAAAAGGAAAGGGTGTTTCCCCCAACTTCCTTTCTTCAGTCATACTGAAGTCCAAGGATAATTCACTCTAGGTACTTAAACCAAAGAACAGCAACAACAGCAAAAATTTTTTAATTTTTAGTAAGTCACTGGATTTACACTGAATTAATAATATAATTAGTATTCCTACTCACCAGAGGGCAGAATATAGTCCATATCACATTTGGAAATTCAGACTTTTTTTTGTTTTAATTGGGGAACAATGTGTTTTTCCAGTCAAGAAGTTGTCTTCAATCTAGTTGTGGAGGGTGCAGTTCCCTGGCCCATGCGGGAATCAAACGGGCAACTTTGGTGTGATGAGCCTGCACTCTAACCACCTGAGCTAACCCGCCGCCCCAGAGACTTTATTTTAAGATTGCAGTTGCCCTAAGAGAACCTTTGCAAAAGAAATTCCTAGGAATATGTGAATCTGTTGACTGTATTGTGCACTTAGGTGAAAGTATTTGAAAAGATTTTCTAAAACATAATTTTCTGATACAGAAAAGTGCCTGATACATTAAGAAATCAGCTTTTCTCACATAATGAGATTTCACGCTACATGATTTAACTTATGCTAACCCAACTATATTATTTCAACTGTAAGATCTTGGCTTAAAAAAAAAAAGTAATTTACATAGTACAGGCAATTCTGCCAGACACTATTCAATGCCTATTCCCTGGGAGTGAGAGCTGGAGATGAAAATTTGCTAGCCGTAGGTCCCATGGTCAGTCTTAGGGTCCATGCCCCTCCAGATGGGCATCTCACAACAACGGGTAATTCCAGAGAAAATAACAATTTTTCCTACAAGATGGACCCCAAACACAAGCCAATCACTTCATTTGGTGCTCAAGCTAAGAAAACACAGACTGGGGGCTGGCGGGTGGCTCAGCTGGTTAGAGCGTGAGCTCTGAGCAACAGGGTTGCCGGTTTGATTCCCACATGAGCCAGTGACGCTGCACCCGAACTGAGCTGCCGCTGAGCTGGTGAGAGCACTTGCCCTTAGCAGAAAGGCTGCCCATTTGACACCCGTGTGGGATGGTGGGCTGCGCCCCCCGCAACTAAGATTGAATACAGCACCTTGAGCTGAGCTGCCGCTGAGCTGGTGAGAGCATTTGCTCTTAACAACAAGGTTGCCGGTTCAACTCCCACATGGGATGGTGGGCTGCACCCCCGGCAACTAGATTGAAAGCGGTGACTGGACTTGGAGCTGAGCTTGCACCCTCTACAACAAGATTGAAGGACAACAACGTGACTTGGGAGCTGATGGGTCCTGGAAAAACACAATGTTCCCCTTCCCCAATTCCCCAACACTGTTCCCTCCCCCAATTCCCCAATAAAATGTTTAAAAAAAGTAAACACAAACTGTTCCCATTGTGGAATAAAGACTCGCTGTCTTGAAGATATAAAGACGCTATATGGACTCCGATGTTGTGCCTTCTTAAAAGACTTTAAGGGGGATGCTGACCCTAAGCATTTTTTGCACTGTGTTTATTCTGAACCTGACACCTTATGTACAATGTCACTGTAACATTAAAACCAGCCTTTCCCTCCATATAGCAGAGTGATGAAATATCTGATGGCAGTAAAGAGTAATTCCAGCAGCCTGGACTCAGAACTTTCAAGTGTGAATCAATATTCTTTCTAGGCTAAAGTATGATTTCCTTTGGCTGACTTTTAATGTCCTTTAGATCCTAGGAAAATAAAGTCTGAATCATCTTTCAGAGAGGACTATAACTTATTCACTGGGCGGAATACTCAGTACTCAAGGAGTATTCACCATTGTCCAGAGAATTAATACGACATGAGTAACAGTGACCACATTTTTCAGTGTTACAAAGAAGACAAAAGGAGAGGGATTTAAACAGGCACATTGCAAAGTGATTACCCAGGACACCAATTCCAAGGCGTTTATGGCTGTTAGTGGTGGACAAGGTGAGGGTTCTGTGGTCATATATGCTTGAGGAACACTAAATTAAAGGTTAAGAATTGAGTGATATGGACTGTTTATTCCCCAAAGGGGAATATTTATAGTGTTTGATTTTATTTGACCATAGTACCCTTTTTTGGGGGACCATCTTATAGGACTAGCTTTTCATTTACACAACACACACACACACACACACACACACACACACACACACACAATCTGTGTCTATATATATGTAAAATGTATATGACAGTACAAAGTACCGTATTTCCCCATGTATAAGACACTCCCATGTATAAGACAAACCTTAATTTTGGGGCCTGAAATTTGAAAAAAATGTATTATATAAAGTTACTGAACTCAAGTTTTATTCATCATAAAATTCATACAACTCCTCATCACTGTCTTCATATATTGCCTCGTCCTCAGTTCCATCTATGGCATTTGAAATCTACAACCACTGTATAAGACACACCCAGTTTTTAGACCCCAAAGTTTTCGAAAAAGGGTGCGTCTTATACATGGGGAAATACGGTAATTGTCATGTTAATGACTAGGAAGAGTATTGTCTTGAGAATCAGATGTCATTTGAAGATGTCATTCGAAGGTGCCAGTATCTTTCTGTGATCTCCAACCAAAGCTGAAGATCATGCTGAAGTGACGATGAATCGCTTACCTTAATCTGTGATTTGCGGCAGGATTAAGCTTCCTAATTTGTTCAAATGTCAAATCACACAGTCGACCAGTGCCATCTGTTGTCCTATCTACCGTGTTATCGTGCATTAAGACAGGCACCCCGTCCAAAGTAAACTCAACGTCCAGCTCCACGCCTGCTGCTCCATTCTTAGCTGCCTTAACAAATACGTCAACAATATTAATGTCGTGTGGCCACAGAAGTCACTTTGCAATCTAAACCCTCAAGATGACCACCGAGAGGGCTGGGTAAGTAGACAGCTGCTCTTCCCGACTCCTTCCCCTTCCTGTATCAAACAGCCACCTAGCCCGTTTCTATTTTCATGGGTGTCACCCTTATCAGCATCTACACTTAGGGATGCCTCAGAAACTTCAACTTCCCCACTCTCCCTGTTCTCAGAGTGGCAGCTGGGGAGACTGAAGTTTTCTCTGGTTGCTTAATTATATGGGCCACGGCTGGCTTACAATTGCATATATTTCGGCCAATCCCACTATTGGCCCCCACACTGTCTGTCACAACATCTCTGAGGACTCCCCTGCATTTGCTGATTAAGTCAGGTGTTCACTACTTCGGCATAAACAAGACAAGTCAGGTTTTCATTGGTCTAACTCTGCCCTCTATTAGCAAAGCCACCAAACCTGCTTCTAGAAGACACTACGCTTCGTTCACGCGAGCCGCACTGGCTGCTGGCCAACAAGCTGGTAAGCTCGATGAGGGTAACTAGAATTTATCTAAAAAGAGAATTTGAACATTAAATTTTATGGGCCATACTCCTCTTAGACACGCTATCCAGCATTTGCTTCTTTGTCGCAATGAAGATATGAAATGCTCATTATGATCAAGATTTTAAATTTAAAAATATTTTAAATTTATGTAAATTTATGTAAAAAATGTAAAAATATTTTACATTATGCAAACATAGTGTGTGTGTGTGACATACCAGAGTCGGCTCTGACTCCCGGTGACCCTGTGAATGAGTCACGTCCAGTGTCCCGTCCTCACAGCCCTGTTCAGCTCCTGTAGACTCCTGCCTGTGGCTTCTTTTATCCATCTCATATCTGCTCTCCCTGTTTTCCTGCTGCCTTCTGTTTTTCCAGCATTACTGTTTTTTTGCAAAGAACCCTCCCTCCTCCTGCTGTGCCTGAAGTAGGACAGCTTCAGTTTTCTTTTTTGCCTCCAGCAATGTTTATACAGCAAAAAAGACTTAACAGATGTTAAGCTTTTGCCATATTTGCTTCAATCTTTTGCTGCCCTAAAACATAATAATAAATAATAGCTATTATCTACTGGGCCTTTTCTATTTGTTAGGCATGATTCTAAGTGCTTTAAATGTATTCGCTCATTTGCTCCTCACAGCCCTTTGGTAAGTACTATTAACATTCGCATTTTCAGATGAGCAAACAGAGATTAAGAAACTTGCTCTGGGTTACACAACTAGGATGTGGTAGCCACTGCAGTATTTATTAACCACTGTGACGTTACTATGGACACTCCAGAGGCAGCTAAAATTCTCCCCCTTCCTCACCACTTAAAGTGGAAGTGCATACCTCCCTTATCATTCCCCAGAGGTCTGTGTATTGGCTTTACACTTAAGTGCCCACAAAGAACATACAGCACTGTATGTACCAGGGCACGGTAAGCATTCAATAAATATTAGCCATTGTTATTCACTGGGTTGTTTTTAAACACCTTTTATGATTGTAATATAGTCAGATTTATCAATGTTCTTTACCGGTGGAGATTTTTCTATCTTATTGCAATCTTTTCCTGCCCTCCCCCCCTTTATAAAAACATACACCCATATTTTCTTCTAAGCTACAAAGGCCACCAGGTAGAAGGGAGCCCCACAGTGGGGACTGCCTGCCCAAATCTACCCTTCTTCTCTTCTGGGAGAGACCGGCCCTTGCCCCAGGGTTCAGTTTCTCCTGGGCTCAGAGTAAGAGGACCATTCCCAATTCCTCTGTGGGTGTGCGTGTGACAGAGGCTGCGGGGAAAGGCATGCGAGAGAGGAAGTGCAGCCTTTTCTTGAGATTCAATGCTCGTGTGTAAGAATGTGATGCCCGGGGCTGCCATGGCCACCTGGCAACTACAAAGAGGGCTATCGAATAAATATGCTGCAGATGGCATAGTAGATGGATCAATAAAACCCAAGTCCTCCAGGATTGCAAACTGAATGGCTGAATAAACAATCCTGGAGGTCACCTCTCCCCCACACACCTCTTGTCATGTGACATAATAATCCCGTTATTGTTTGAGATATTTGTGGTTAATTCTCTATTACATGAAGCCAAAAGCATTCTGACAAACACCCAGGTGGCTGGAACAGAGCAAGGAAGGACTTTGAGAAAGGCACAAGATAGAAAGGTGTTTGGATTTTATCTAATTGCAATAGAGAACCACTGGAGGGTTTTAAATAAGGGCAGGATACACTCTGATTTATACTTTAAAACTGTACTCCGGCCCCTGTGTGGAGAATGGACTGTGGGTATGATTTCATTACTCTGCCACTGTTTATAATCATGTGTTTTTGGAATACATTCATTTCACCTCTCCATTGTTCCCTTCTCTATCTCTAGAAGGCCGCTCCCTCCATCTCGACTGTAAAATATATCGCTTATTTCCATCAAAGTTTGGTTTTTGTCCTGTTCTTACTCCCTTTGCATGTTTACATCTCATCATTTATATTCTTAAACGTTTTATGATGTAAAAAAATCAGGGAAGACTTTCTGACAATGGTAGAACTTTTCATAGATTGGTTTGCTATAGGAATATCATCTTTCTTTTCATGACCATTGTATCCTGTGTAGCTATGTGACTTCATCCGACCTCTCTGAGTTTTAGTTTAGAATGTAAAATACATCCCTCCGCATCTTTAGATTTCTTTTTAAATGGAAGGCTAAAAAAGCTGTTGTCGCCCTTCCGTCGCAAAGAACCACGGGGAAAGCAGCATAAGAGAAGTCTAACTTGGTTTACAAAGAGTCAGGTGTGCTCCACTAAATTAAAGTCTGCCTTGCAGATGCCCTTCCTTCTCCACTTATTTTTTTTTACCTTTACTCAGAGATGATTTTAAAGAATCAAGCCATCTTTAGATTCTTGGCCTAAAGAGCTTACATTAGTAGAAGTCTTTTTGTTTGTTTGTTTTTTTGTTTTTGTTTTAGCTGAGCCATCCTGCCACCTGCTGGCAGCTCAGCAGCAACTCAGCTCAGGCTGGGACTCGAACCGCTGTTGCTCAGAGCTCACACTCTTGAGGGAGCTCTTAACCAACTGAGCCATTCGGCCGGCCCAAGTGGAAGTCTTATCATGGGCCAAGCACTGTAGGTCGACTAGCTCAATGAATCACAACCTGCTAAGTGGAGACCAATATTATTCCCATTGTAAAGATGGGGCGACTGAGGTCAGGGCTAGGACTAGTGTGAAGAGAGGTGTTCTAGGGTGCCTGGCCTGCCACATCCCCTGTGACTCTAACTGGGACACAGAAAGCTTCAGTAACTTGCTCATTACACAATATCGTCTGTCCCTAGCTGGACAAAGAAAGGAGAGTCAGGCCACGTTTTTACTTCTGGAACCTATTCTAATCTATGACAAAGTGTAGTGGGGCTCGGACTCAGAAGGCTGAATTCAAGAAGGAGCCACGTGTTGGCGTCCGTGTTCCTACCCATCCAATTGTTAAAATAACGTCTCAACGAAACAAGAGGATCAGCTCTATTTCCACAGATGCAAAAGTGCCTAGACCACTGGAAAGCTCTCTTGCTATGCAAGCTGTCATTATTATGAAGCCAGGAGACTCCCAGGAGAGCCTTGTTAAAAGGGGCGTCCCGCTGACACAGTTGCCTGAGTGTGCATGTGTGTTTGGGGGCGGGGAAGGGATAAGGAGGTGACGTGGACGGTTTGGAGGACAGGCAAAGTGACACCTCCTGGGAAGGTTGATCCATTTATTAATAGAATAAACCCAAACCACCGACCAAGAAGACTCTGCTGAACTCGGCCACAGTTGCTTACTTCATTCCCCCGCCAGCCTCTGCTCTGTTCCTTGAAGTCAGGCCACACAAACTGCCTCTTCTGGGGCCTGCACATTCCAACGCCATCCCCATTTCAGGGCTTTTGCTCTTTTTTATTGTATTTTTATTTTTGTTTTGTTTTCTCAGGGCTTTTGCTCTTGCTGTTCCCTTTTCCTGGGACACCTTCCCCCACCCCCACCCCTCCCCCAATCCCTGTCTGGGTCGTTCTCATAATCCCGGTCTCTTGTTACAAAGTTCTTCTCTTCCAGAGGCTCTGTCTGATTAAAATAGCAGAAGCCTTCCTCTCAGCCATTCCTTTTACCACGACCCGATTTCTTCAAGCGCCTCACTTGTGTGTTTACTTGCGTAAGGCCCGCTCCCCGCCCCACCCCAACTCCAGTGCAAGGTCTGTGAAAGCAGGGACCCTCACTGTCTTGTTCGTGAGTGTATCCGCGCTGCCTGGCACATACATAGCAAACGTGTTAAGTATTTGCTGGGTTCTCTAAATTCTTGAAGATTTTTACAGACTTCAGCGGGTTGGAGGACCATTTGAATGTCTTCCTGGGGGGGGGGGGAGGCTTGTCATGAGAAGATCGGGGGACCCTGGGAAGGACAAGCACAAGTCCAAACTCCCAGGAGCGGCGGAGGGGCGCGAGGCGTGGGGGGCTCACCTGCCGAATGGCCGCCAGTGTGTTTTCCGGGGCGTCGTGGCTGCCGCCGCGGTGGGCGATGGCGGAGACGCGGTCCCGGGGCTTGAGCACCTGCAGGGCCCTGCAGGAGGGCAGAGGCTCAAAGCTGAAGAGGCGTAGCAGAAGGTAGAGGCTGCCGGTGAAGAGGCAGGCATTGAAGGGGCTGCGCGTCACCAGCAGTAGCAGCAGCAGCAGGAAGGAGAAGGGGCCCAGGAGGCCCCCCTGTTCCTCCCACAGCCACATGCCGGCGCCCGCACCGGCACGGACGGGAGTCCCGGACCCGCCGGGCTCCGGGGACAGGAGTGCGAGAAGCGAGGGCGAGAGCCCAAAGCACTCGCCACCGGGACACCCTTCAAGGGGACTAGCGCCTCACAATGGCGGCGGCGGCAGCGGCCACATCCCGAGAGGGAGCTGGGAGTCCAGCCAATCAGGGCCCGGGATCTCCAGGGGACGGGGGCGGAGCCAGTGGCTTGGCAACGAAGGCGGGCCCAGGCCCCAGGCTCACATTCCAAAAGTCCAAAAGTGGCTTTTGGGTTACTCTGGGGTCTGGACTTGAACCTGGGCTTTCAGAAAACTCCAGAAGGGGAGGGATACGGGAGCCGTTGTATAGTTGTAGGACTGGAAGGGACCTTAGTGACTCCTTCATTCTGCCTTCGAGGACACTGCCCGGGGAGCCTTGAAGAGGCTGGACGCTTAGACTATTCAAGTCAAGATGTGCAAAACACCAATAATCCAGGTGCTCAGGACTCAGCAGTGAGCAGGATCTCCAGGGCCCCTACTCTTGTGGGGCTTACATAATCGTGAGGGAAAATAATTGTGTTAGGGAGTACACCGATCATTTACACAGCACCTACCGTGTCCCGGGTTCTGTGCTTTATGCATTATCTCCTTTTCACAACAACCTCAATGGGGAGGTATTATCTCAGGAGGATGAATTCAGTTGACTTTAGGAGGGTTTTGCAGATTCCAAGGGAATGAAAGGGCATAACAAAATGAGGCAAAGTCAGATTATAAAGCTTTGAAGGGATTTTAATGAGTCCCTCATTTTGTAAACGAGGAAACTGAGGCCAGGAGAGGTGAAGTGAGTTAAGCAGTTAATGGCAGAGTCAAGACTGACTCAAGCCACGCCAGTTTTAGGCCAGTGACTTTTCCACTGCTTTTTCTCCTCCTAACCTTGCTTCTCCTACCAAAGGCTGATAAGTGGTGCTTAGGAGCCGGTCATTGTGCGAGAATTATCTGTTGTTTCTCATAACCACCCTTGTGACAGTCACTTTTAAAACTCTCATTTCACATATGCAAAAATAGGCACAGGAAGGAGGGTCAATAAGAGAGGCAGAGCGTAAAGCCAAGTTAAAAAATGAAAGGGGTCACTACATAATTTGCAATGGTAGGGGCGCTAGCTTGCAGTGAAGACTACGTTTCCCGGCGTGCATCGCGCCTCCCGTAAGTACCACGCCTTACCCAGGCGCGCAATGCACCTCGGGGACTGTAGTTTTCTGGTGCCCCAACCGTTACAACGGCCCGGGAAGCAACCGGAAGTGCCCGCCCTGAGAGGTGGAGTCTAGGCGGCGGCGGCCGTTGCCAGGAGCCCGCGTTGCCGCCTGAGACCCGTAATATGGCGGGGAGGAGGAGAAGGAGACGGCGGTGGAGTGAGCTGCTCTCTGTCAGTAGCAGTTAAGCCATTTGCTTCCTGACAAGGCCTATGGTGAGGGGAGGAAAGCTGACCCGACCGTAGGAGATCAGGTGTGTGCGTGAGGAGGGGGTTTGACTCAGAGGGTCCCGGCTGCGGGGCCACCCGGCGAGGCGGAACTGGCGCCCCGAAGAGGTGAGGGCGGGCTCCGACGGAACCCAGGCGCCAATGCTGGGCTCCCGGGCCTCGAGCCCCTGGAAAGGCGCCGGCATGGGGAGGCGGTGAACCGGGTGCCTGCGGCACCCGGCGCGGAGGTGATGCTCGGATGGTGGGACCACCGACGGATGGGCCCTAGGGCTGGAGCTTTATCAGAGGGGCTGGGGGAGGTGGGCTTGGGGCTCTGGGGTGAGGGCAGAGGGTCCCGGGTAAATAAGCGCCGGCCCGAGCCTATCTCCTCTTAATAAAACTGGGCCTTTTTATCACGGGGACACGATGCTGGCGAGGGAGGCGTCCCCAGGGTGCGTGCTGGCCATTTCTGAACGCTCTCTCTGCCTTTGCGACTCTCTGGGGCAGAAGCATGAGGATAATCAAGCCAATTCTCTTGATTGCTTCTGAGGCTGCTACGTGGCTCCCAGCCTTTGCTTCTCCCTGGTTTTGATCCCAGTTCCCTACTCCCCCATTTAGGCAAATGGCAGGTGCTAGAGATTGATTTCATGGGAAAGGTGGGGGCCTGGGGGGAAAAAAAAAGAAATGAGGAAGCTGTTGCCCCCCTTTTCATGTTTTAAAGTTACGTTTGAATCTTACCAGGAACCAGGCACTGTTCACTGCCCTCCAGGAGTTCATAATTTAGTTGTAAAAGCTGTCGTCATCATCATCACCACCATCACTATCATCATCTGCATAATCAAAGCAGCCCCCATTTATTGATGCTTTCTGCATGTCCTGCAGTATACTAATTGCCAGACGTGTTCTAGTTCCTCAAATCCTCACAGAGTCCCTTTGAGACAGATGAGATTATCCCCATTTTACAGATGAGGAGACTGAGGCCTAGAGAGACGGTAAGTGAATTGCCGAGCACTGACAGCTAGCGCGTGCCTGAAAGGGAAACCTTCCCCTTCACTGCCTCGGCAGGAGGTTTTATGTCTTTGGGAGGACCGATGGGTCAACAGCCATCTAGAATCTGAAAACAGGGCCAGACCTGTTCTGTGTCACTTTGACTGTCCCCTTCGGTGACGTTTCTGGTAGAGCGCTGGGGAGGAACCAGGTAGCAGAGCCACGAGCCGATGGGGCTGGCGAGGAGGCTTTCTTGGAGAAGGGCTATGGAATAAGTGGAAAAGACGAGGCGTGTCTGAACTTGACGCAGCTGACAAATTCTGAATTCAAGTGGGCCGGTAATGCCTGACGGTCAAGTATGGGGCAGTAGATTTGTGGTTGGGGTGGCCTTGTCGTCAGGGCTCCCTAAAAATAAAATCCTGCTGACTCAGGTGATTGTGTTGTGAGAAAGGAAGTGCCCTCTCGCTCAATCGTACAGGCCACGGGATGCTCCCTTTTGAAGTGGCTGCCTTTGCCGTTGAGAGGTGCCAGTTGCTTTGAGAATAGGGTCACCCAGGAAGCTACCATGCTCCCTTGCTATCTAGCCCACTCTCACCTTTTTCCTGGTTTACGTTATTCTTTGAGCTAACTACCTGGATGTATGTATTCAATACTTTTATCAAGGGCTACTGAGTGCTGGCGCTGCTCCTGTGTAATGGGGATTCGGTGGTGAGCAAGACTGAGAAAGCACCTGTGCTTATGGAGCTTACGCTTCGGTGGAGGAGGACAGACAAAAACCAAGGAGATAAACAAGATAATTTCAGATAGTGGTAAGTGCTGTGGAAATTGGGGAGCCGCCGTGTAATGTGGTCGTGACCGACGCAGGGTTAGTTTAGACGGGAGAACCAGGGACAGCCTCTCCAAGGAGGGGACCAACACGCTGAGGCTGAAGGATAAGAAGGACCCAGTCATGCCCTCGTAGGATCATTTGGTAATTTCCGTAGTCATCACGTTAGCACTTGTATGTGGACATTTTATGCAATAGCAGATGCCATAAGTTACGCTGTAATAATAATAAATTACTATCCATCTGCAGTGTATATGACACACATGTATTGTTTAAGGGATATGAATTTCACTTTCTGAAGCAATGAGGCATGTCTATATGATGTTGTTGAAAGAAAAATAAAACTATTGCCATAAAGATACTTTATTTCCTTGAATTTCCCAGACCTTTGAAATAGAATCTCATTCTTTGTGTATCCATGAGAAGTCTATTAACATTAATTGTTTGAGTAATCTATTTATGTTCCCTATACTGCTGGATGCATGGATTGTGTTAAAAAATATTGGGAAGTATTTTAGTAAAAATGGGGTCATGTGAGTTTCTCTTAGCTTCTGCATAATTTGGTTGTTAAGATAATCATAATGTAGGTTGAAAGCTGGACGGAAAATGGAGGCCTTGCTGTGGTTACCAGAGCACCATTTCTTTGGAATTAAACTCTCACTTTGCCTAACTTGAATATAGAAATACTTAGAATTGATGGGATTGTAGGAAGAAGTTATTAAGACTACCAGTTGGTCAATCTCATCATAATTTTAATAATGCTTTTTCTTCATTTCTAATTGTGCTATAATTTGTCTCTGACACTTTAGTCTACTGAATCTTTAAGTACCTGGAAGCTTAGGACAGTATCATATTCTTATTTCATCTTAGCACATCCTATATCATGAATTGAATTTCCCTGCCCTCTGTCTTTTGTTAATTAATTAATTGTTTTAAAATGAACACTGAAAGGAACATTATTGTATTAGTTTTTCTGTTTTCACAGTTCTGTCTCTTGTTGGTTATGAGTCTGGTGATGTCTCCCTTTTTATTTTCCTTTGCTTATTTAAAGGAAGCAGTGCCAGACCTAATGCTATGGAAACAGGCACTCAAACATTTAACGCTTGCTAGATGAATGAATACGGTAGCTAATCCTTTCTGGTTGCCTTGTATTTTCTTAGTCCCCATTACAATTTTCCAGAAATTGTGAAGTTGCAGGCTGATTATTTTAACTAGTTTGGCAATGGTTCTAATTTTCGGTGATAAAATAGAATTATTACGAGAGCCGATAGATTTTCTGTTTTCCACTGCTGACTGATTTGGTTAGTGACCATGGAGTCATAATATCTTCTTAAGATATGCAAGTAATAGACTTTGAACTCCATGATAGAAAAAGAATTTTTAAAAGTAAATATCCTCTTTTGTTTAGATAACACTTTTGTCTTTTTTTTTTTCTAGAAAAACATTTCTACCTTTCTATAATTTAGTTTTTCTTGTGCTGTGTAGATAAGTCCTACTTAAGAAAAATATATTCTATTTTATAATCTAAAGTTAGTAAAGTGGTATAGAACTTTGTGTTTTCAAAGTGGATTTCATTGGTGAGTGAGTTCTTAGTACTTTTCTAAACTAATCACATTTAAAGATTAATTTACACACAAGTGTTCAAAAATATTTAGTATCTGAAGCAAACCTCAACTGGGTAGGATCTTGACCTATGTTTTACCTTATACTCAAGGTTTAGCTCCTGATCAGTGGAAAAATTCTGGGAAGTCCAGTTCTAGGAATCATGAATTCTAGGAATATTTCAGTGTTCTATACAATTTGCTAAATAATTAAGATTTATTTTTCTCAGCACATTCAAAATGACATTTGTCTCTTTTGTAGTGTGGTTGTGGGAAGATGGAGGAATATGACAAGTTCTGTGAGAAGAGTCTTGCCAGAATCCAAGAAGCATCACTGTCCACAGAGAGCTTTCTACCTGTCCAGTCTGAAAGCATCTCACTCATTCGCTTCCGTGGAATGGCTGTGCTTTCTCCACTGGTAAACGCGCTTTGATTTTTACATAATGTTTTTTTCTGTAGCTGCCCACAAGGGCAGTTCACAGAAAAACAAAAGAAAGGGTAATAAACATCAAAAAGATGCCTAACTTATTCATAATTAAAGAAATACAAATGAGTTAGCATTTTTTTTACCTACTAGATTTGCAAAGATCTGATAGGGCCTATGGGGAAAAGGTACTTATGATGCATTTTTGCTGAGAGAATCAGTCAATTTTATGTTTTGGTGAGCAATTTGGTAGTGTTTATCAGAATTTAAAAATATACATAACCTTTGACTCAGCAATTTCATTTGGGGAATATCTTACAATTATACTCATGTATGTGCCCAAATAAATATTTATAAGGTTATAGGAACATTATTTAAAATAGAAAAATATTGATGAACGACCTAAATATCCATCAGTAGTGGACTAGTTTAACTGGTCCGTTTTATAGAATCTCATACATGCCATTAAAATGAGTACAGCACTTCTAATGTAAGGGCCTGGAGGAATCTCCACAAACTACCATAAATCACTGCACACAGCATGCTCTCGGGGGCAGGGTAGAGTAGTGGTTAAAAGCCCAGCTCTGGTGTCTGGTGCCATCTGGCCTGGGTTCAGATCATTGCTCTGCCACTTAGCTGCTCTGTGAACTTGCAGGGCCATTTTCTTTCTTTGTTAAATGACAATAAAAATAATGCCTACCTCACAGAGCTGTTTTGAGGATTAAATGAAGTAATACACTTAAAATGTGTGCAGGGCTGACTGAGTGGCTCAGTTGGTTAAGAGTTAGCTTAAGAGCATGAGCTCTGAGCAGCAGGGCCACCGGTTCGATTCCCACATGGGGCAGTGACTCTGAGCTGAGCTGACACTGAGCTGCTAACAGGTGGCAGGATGGCTCAGCTGGTGAGAGCACGTGCTCCTAACAAGACTGTCTGTTCGATGGTGGGCTATGCCCGCCCGCAGCTAAGACTGAACTTGGCACCTTGAGCTGAGCTGCTGCCCTGATGGCTCAGTGGATAAGGCATGTGCTCTTAACAACAAGGCTGCTGGTTTGACTTCCGCATGGGATGGTGGCTATGCTCACCTGCAACTAAGATTGTAACACAGCACCTTGAGCTTAGAGGCCACGAGCTGCACCCGGGAAGCCAGATGACGACTGGCGCCCTCCACAACTAAGATTGAAGAACAACAACTTGGCTGGTCCCCCTCCCCAATTCCCCAACACTGTTCCCCTCTCCCAATTCTCCAACTAAAAATAATAATAATTAAAAAAAATGTGTAGAACACTAGATCATAAGAGGTAATCAATATGTGTTAAGTATTTGGATTTTTAAATAAGGATATCATACTCTTTCTCTTGGGAGGGGTAAGGGAATATAAGATGAGAGAGAAGACACAGTTTTCATCACGTATCTTTTGATATAGATTGAATATGTTTTATATGTATGTGATTTTATTCCAAATCAGAAAATTAATATGATTGAGAGTGAATTTTTCTTATATAACAGAAGTTAAAAGATAAGTAATTTCTGCCAACTTTTTATCATTAAATTTTCAAACATGCGTAAAAGTTGAGAGGATAGTACAACGACCACCCATGTATCGACTAGTTAGTCAACAGTTTTTAACATTTTTTGCTTTATTGTGTTTGATTTTGTATATGTATATGTGTGTGTATATATTTGCCTACTTTTTGTTTTATTGCTGAAACATTTGAAAATTGCAGCTACATGACATTTCTCCCCTCAATATACATATTCTAAGAATAAGGATATTCTCTTACATAAAACCCCAATACCATGATCACACCTTAAGAAAATTAATAATAATTTTACTAGCATCTAATATTCTGTCCATATTCAAATTTCTCAGTTTGGGCTCAAAATATCTTTTATAACCTTTTTTGTTTAGTAATCTAGATTTAGTCAAAGTTCACAAATAGCATTTGCTTGTTACGTTTTTCCAACCTCTATCTTAATCTGGAATAGTCACTTTACCTCTTAAAAACTTTTTTTGTTTGTTTTTATGATAGTGAATTTTTAGAGACCAGACCAGTTATCTTGTAGAGTGCCTTACATTTTGAATTTGTCTAATTGTCTCCTTCAGTGATATTTAATTTGTCATCTAGTCCCTGCAGTTCCTATAAACTGGAAATTAATTCTAGACGTTTGATTAGAGTCAGGTTAAACATTTTGGGCAAGAATTCTTTGGAAATGATGCTATGTAATTTAATAGTAAATTAAATCAGAAGTTACATAATACCTAGTTTCTCTATTTTGATGTTTAGTTTGAATACTTGCTTTTACAGTGGTGACTGCCAGATGACTCTTTAAAGGTATACCTTTTCTTTCCTCTTTTTTATTAGAAAGTAAACTGTGGAATGATTCTTTGGTACCATGCAAATGAGAAAAATATTTAAAACATTTTTATCAGCTACTTTAGGACCTAAGGCTTGATTAGTTTAATATGGACCAAAATACCTGCGCCTTATCATTTAGGGTCTATGACCCTATCAGTTACTTACTTATAAGCAAAATCTGATGTTTATTGACATTCATCCATGTTTTTATGTTGTATTTGGCAGAAGAATATTGCAACTTTGGAATAATTTTTTAGGACATGTTTTCTATATGCATAATCTAAAATTAGTCTTGACTCCTTACCATAGTGACAAAACTTCCCAGGACTTAATAATTAAGATGTAAATCTACTATTAAAAGATATAATGCTTGGAAGCCTTCATTTTTTTAGGTACATTATATTTTCATTGGAGGTTACAGCAAAGTAGAACCAAATATGTGTTCTGATTTTATAGGCAAATAAAACATGTTTCTTTTATCATTAAACCTTTGGAGATTTTCTTGAGGTAGCAGAGAGGTAAAATGTACACGGATGATGGAGAATCTAAGTGACTCAGTGAAGTATGACATTACCCAGTGAAAAGCTCAGCAGTGGCCAAAAGGGCGAATTTTATCTCTCATTTTAGAGCAGTTGATAAGTGAACAGGCTTTTTTCCTTCTTTCTTTCAACTTATTTTTTCAGTTGAGAATAATTTACATACAGTAAAATGCAGAGATCTTTAGCATTGAAGTTTTATGCGTTTTTGATACATGGCATACGCTTGTGTAACTCATACAGAGGACATTTTCATCATCACCAGAAGATCTTGCATACCCCGCCCCAGTCACTACCCCAACCACTGCCCAGATGCCTTTCACTATAGGTCATTCTAATCATTCTAATTGAAAACGTCCTGATTTTATGCTATTTTTATATTTATGAGAAATAATTAACATATTTATGATGTTTCACAGCTTAACATTGAGAAAAGAAAGGAAATGCAACAAGAAAAGCAGAAAGCACTGGATGTAGAAGCGAGAAAGCAGATTAACAGGAAAAAAGCTTTACTGACTCGGGTCCAGGAGATTCTTGAAAATGTTCAGGTGTGTAATTTAAGCTCTTTTAAATTATTAAGAAATCATAATTGAATGAGCATTGATGATAATGTTTCAGAAATATATTTGCACTAGCTAGTTAATTACCAATATACTTGACTGTCTTGTTGGAGAAGTTTCATAATTTGTGATATTCCATTTCAGTTACTCCAAAGAAAATTCACTTGCTTGTTAGTGATGCCCAGTACTTGAATCAGAGGGTACTTAGACAATGGAGCCCTACACTGAATATAATTGCTTATTGTCTGTGTCTTATGACTCTAAAAACATTGAATTCTCAGTGACAAAATGATAGAATTGTCCATTGTAGTTTACCTCTGAACTAATCAGACTATTGACTCAATGATCTTATTCTCATTCTTTGTAAATAACTGCCCCCAATTTATTTTTGGTGAAAAATCTGCTCATAGATTCAGATTAGATAAATGCAAATGCAATTCAGATTAGATAAATAGAATTGCCTAAATGCATCTTAGATGCTTATTAAAACCAATTAAACAACACATTCATACCTTTGTAATTGTTTTTATTTAGTTTAATTTAAAATTATATAAACAATCTCTTCATACCAAAAAGAAAAACAAATGAATTTGAGTAAATAAATAATTTCTGCCATATATAGCACTGTTTTGCTGGTTACATCTTTTTATAATTTTCCACAATCTTATGGGTCTGTGGTTTGTGTAATTCTACTAGGTACAATGTACAGTGTACCTTAGGATATTAACTGCTATCTTCATTTCTCTATGGGTAATTGATTTTAATTTGCATGTTATAATTACTGTTCATATTAAGTTTAAAAAAATATAGTGTGTAGCATAGTAAAGGGTGGGTTTTTGAATTACTAGATATTTTTTATTACTGAAACAAAAATGGCATATCATTTTTGGTTCATTGAGGGAATATATTAAATATATTACTAATGAGATTATTGTTGAGTCTGAAAACTCTGTTGTTAATTCTCTGTAAATGTTGAATTGTAGAGTGATGAATTGTGGAGGTTGAGAAATTTTATATATATTAAAAATAGATTTCTAAGGTCTGTTTTATCTGTAAAACCTATGATTCTATGATAGATTTTTTTGTTGTTATTTAAATCATTGAACCAAAGGCTCATATTAGTGGTGTACAAAAAACACAGTTTCTGAATATCACAAATGTGAAATATGAGCTATTTTAAGGAAATACTTGGTTTTACTTAAACCTATGAATGTGTTTGTGGATTTTGTGAATATGTATTCCTTTTGTTTTATTTTGGTTCTGAGGTTGTGACTGAGTATACCTCATAATGTTTATTGCATAGTACCTGGAAACCATTACATGTCTTGGGATTTATCAGGTAAAACAGGAGTGCCATGTGGCCTAGGAAAAAAACCATACAAAAACAATGTAAAAATCTTAATATTCAGGATTCTGGAGCCTCTCTATTCATATGATGATTTCTTAATATATTTTTGTATAATCTTTAGAAAGCATCCTAGTTCACTTTTAATTTTTTTTGCAAAGTTGAATTATTTAGATACAAAATGTAATTTTACTTATTTTTCTATTGTATTTCTTGTGTATATAGTTGTTCTCATCTTAATTTATCAAATTTTTTACTTAATTTTGCTTGTTCTAAAACTCATTAACAGGTTCCAGTTTTAAATGACCATCATTTAATCAAATTAGAATTTGCTTTAGTACATTGAGTTTTAAGTTGAAATTTTTCTTGTTTTTAAGTCATTTAAGCTACATGGCTGAGATATCATTTACTACAAATTTGCCTCATCACGCAATAGGATTTTAGTTAAAATTTGGGGTAAGCATGTGTTAGGCCAGAGTCTTATTACTGAATTATTTTCCCTTAATCAGTATCCAGGGCACGTTAGTCTTTGTTAAAGAGGGAATCATTTATGTCAGACATTGAACTACTTGCTATTTAGCTCATATATCGTTATCCTGAGATGATGGCTCTCCTAGGAGCAACAGTTGGCGACGTTAATACCATATAACCAGACAAAAGTTAAGGAAAACGCTTCTATTCCAAGATTAAATCACACATGGATATATGTGTGTGTGTGTGTGTGTGTGTGTGTGTGTATACACTTGCACATATGTTCTCATTTGTATCAGATTAGATCAATTGTTTTTGTTTTTAGAAACACTTTAATAAATAGGCTGGGGTGACCGATAGATGTTATTATAGTATTTGAGCTCCATGTGACAAAGCATACCACAGAACAAGGTTGTCTTCATTTTTGTTTGTGTTTTCAAATATCAGAACTCTGAATCTTTAATTTGTCTTATTTTAGAAAACAATGACATCAAAGTCTTTTGTGCAGTAAGGAAACATTCATTTTTTAATTTTAATCCCTTTTTCAGGTTAGAAAAGCACCTCATGCCAGTGGTTTTGATCAGTGGGAGACTGAAACAGTTTACTCTCCTTCAGAAGTCACAAACTTGAATGTTCCTGCTCCATTTCCAAATATCTTGCCAAGCCCTACTGAACACTCCACTTTAGCAAAATTCGAAAAGATAACTGGACTCTTACCATTGAATAATGAGGACCAGTTTAAATCTAACGGGATAGATCTAGCTAGGGACTCAGAAGAATTTAATTCTCTGAAGCAATGTGACCATTCCAACATTGGCCACAGGGAAAATGAAGCTTCTCTGAAGGCCTCCTCAGCAACCCCACAGGAGACTCTTATTCCCGATGGTCTGTTCTCAACAAATGAAAAACAGGAGCCGTCGCTTTTGGAGGAAGTTGCTGCAGATCCCTACATTATGAGTCTTCAGAGCCTGATGAAAAAGTCAAAGGAATACATAGAAAGAGAACAGTCGAGACGCAGTCTGAGAAGTAGTGCAAAGAGGAGTATTAATGAGAGTCATTCAGACAAAGAAAACGATGCTGTCACGGTGACCGGCTGTGTAAAGGAGAAGACCCAGCTCATCAGCAAACACTGCGGTTCAGTTATTCCTGACAAGCCCAGCCTTAATAAATCAAATGTTCTTCTCCAAGGTGCTTCCACTCAAGCAAGCAGCACGAACTCATCAGTTTTAGGTAGCTTTTCTAAAGCGGACTTACCTGTAGGAACTGGCCATCCCACTGTTTCGGATCTAGATTCTGACTTTAAAGTCATTCCCACTTTTGTTACTGAAAATAATGTTCTCAAAAGTCTTACTGGTTCATATGCCAAATTACCTAGTCCAGAGCCCAGCCTGAGTCCGAAAACGCATCGAAGGCGTTCTAGGCCATCATCAGTGTGTCATATACTTATAAATAACCCGATAAATGCCTGTGAGTTGAGTCCTAAAGGAAAAGAACAAGCAGTAGACTTAGTTGTTCAAGATACTGATGAAAAAACAAACATCCCTGACACGGTGCCAAATTTACCAATTGATTTAACAGAAGTTTGTCCAAACAGGGGTTATGTCAGCAAAAATACATCTGAAGCCATACAGGAAATGGTTTTAGGTAAATCAAATCAGGTATGTCAGTCTTCAGGAGATCACGTAGAAAATAAAGTGATTCATGGACTTGCTCTCGTTGAAGGTCAGTTAACATGTGATGGAAGAGGACCACACAAAATGGACAGTATGTGTCCCCCGATGCCAAGACTGCATGAGCCCTATGCCACCGGTTCGTGTATAGCGAGTCAAAACTTTGGAACCACGAGTGGACTCAAGTCAGCCAGTGTGTTAGAGAAAAACTCCTGCAATTTACAGATGGAACTGAATAAGTCTTATGATGTAAAAAACCCATCTCCTTTACTGATGCAAAGCCAGAATGCCAGGCAGCAGATGGACACCCCTCCAGTGTGCTGTGGAAATGAACAATTTTTGGACAGCAGTTTTGAGAAAGTGAAACGCAGACTTGATTTGGATGTTGATGGTTTGCAAAAGGAAAACTGTCCTTATATCATAACACCTGGAATAGCTGAACAGGAAAGGCAACAGTTGCCAGAAAAAAGATACCCAAAGGGGTCTGCCTGCATCAGCAAGAATCAAATGTTAGAAAGTAGTTGCAAAGGTAAGGAAATCTGAAAGTGTTTGCTACCTGCCAAGCAGACGGGCATCTCTATTTAATACTTATGATTGACATTTTGCGAAATAAAAATCATCTGTTCGTTAGGGTACTTCACTTTGTTTATCTTATCAGAGAGCATATAATTAGGTACAGTTTGTTGCCATTTGATAGACTTTCTTGAATTATTTTTTAATTTAAATTTTGAATTTTTCATAATCCACTAGGTATTACAGAGAATACTGGTAAAGACTGCAGGAAAAAGTTCTTGCATGAAACATCCCTCATAGTTTTAATCCAGTGTATTTTTTTTTTTAAAGTATGTGTCTTTTAAAAAAAATTTTTTTTATTGGGGAACAGTGTGTTTTTCCAGTACCCATCAGCTCCAAGTCAAGTAGTTGTCTTCAATCTAGTTGTGGAGGGCGCAGCTCAGTGGCCCATGTGGGGATTGAACCGGCAACCTTGGTGCTATGAGCACTGCACTCTAACCACCTGAGCTAATTGGCCACCCCTTAATCCAGTGTATTGCTGCAGTGTCTTCCTTTTGGATGATGGTTTCCAATATTTTCATCAGTTTGTCCTTTCATGTGTGATGAGATCTTGGTGGAGTTGGGCCTTCAGTAAACAGTTTAGCATCAAATTATTAGAGAAAATATCACATGTAGGGCTCTGTGAGTAGTGGTTCAAGAAAGGTGTCTTTATTGATAGAAATTATTTCAAGTTGCCTTCTGTTGCATTGAGTGTTGTATTAACAACTTGTTACAACATGTCATCTCCGTTAGTCCAGACTTTGTTGTTGTGGCCATAATTCCTCATTACCGATATGGACGGCATATGATCAAGTAAGTTAAGTATTTAGACACAGGCATTTCAGCTTTAATGTGATATTTATCTTCCTGAAAAAAACTTTCATAGTCTTTAAAATTGCATGCTAAAAAGAACGGTTTGTAGGAAAAATAGGGTGGGGGCAGAGCATTTGAAACCTGTGCAACTTAGTAAGAACTCAAATAAAAACAACAGTTGATGTCCTGGACTCGCCAAGTAAACCACATAATGTGGCCAGAGGCGGCCTCACTGAAACCCAGAAGAAGGCAGAACCACCAGTGGCAGCTGTGCAGCGGGGACAGCCAGGTCCCCATCAGAGTGGGCAGGGGGCAGGGCAGCGTGTGGAGAGACGCCCACAGCTTGTTGTGGTTGTTGCTCGGGAAGTCTGCTGTGACATGGGGATGGGACTGCAGGCTGTTTCTGAGGGACGGCTCCTGGGACCACACGTGTGGAAGGAGGGGAGGGGTTGAGGGAGAGGTTGAGCTGTGACACAGCCTCAGCCAAGACCTCAGCTGCCCCCAGGGAGCACTCGGAAGCGTGGATGGTCCTTTAGTGGGTCTACATTGGAGTGAGGAGACTGGGCTATGTACCGCTGTGTTAATCGGGACATGGGGTGCGAGCATGAACTTGGGAGAGGCAGTTTTCTTCACCAATGCCAAACTCAAAGTGGGCTGACAATTGTGGGCTATCTCCAGGCAGCCCTTGAGGGAGGGAGCCCCTCCGGGGATGGAGCCCACGTTTTGAAGTTAGGTGGAGGGAGAATCTAGACTGAACATGCATAGTTTGGGCTCCATCACTTCAGATCATAGTGGGATCTGTCAAATGAGGGGGAAGGATGGGGAGATGCAGATTTGATAGCGTGAAATAACGAGGGTGGCAAAAGAGAATGTGGTCCACAGTGGGGCCTGGCTATGTCTTGGTTATATTATGTCAGATCCAGGAAAACGCTGGTGAGAATCGCAGTCGAAATTGATGATATAAAACATCGGATATTAGACTTGTCAGTTTTCTAAATCCGAGGGGGACGTGTTTCTTTTCAGAAGGTGAGGAGACGTTAAAAAGCAAGATGTTAGCTCTTGAAGAAATGCGGAAGAGACTGGAAGAGCAGCACGCCCAGCAGTTATCACTGCTCATAGCTGAGCAGGAGCGGGAACAGGAAAGGTTGCAAAAGGTGAGGAATTAAACGGAGGGACATGCGGTGGTCAGAGGAGCTTAGCCGGGATACCTGTGAACTTTGGTCATGGACAGAGACTTGTAATTCCCCCCCGTGTGTATATCTTAACCCTACCAGACCTGAGGCCCTGAACCTAACTGTCCCCTATACCTGGGCTCCTGAGCATTAAAGAGAAAAAACCAACATGATATAGAAAAATGTTAGTTACCTGCAAACAAGTGGTTAGAATAAGATGGAACTTGGAGACATTGTAGAAAATAGGTCTACCTTTCATCTAGTGCCAATATTCCACCTTTGTGTG